ACTTGTGACCTGCTTTGACAATGAGAATGTGGCAGAAGTGACACTCCATTTCTTGCAGGTCCAGGCTCTAACAGTCCCTGTTGTCCATGCCATCTTGCATGTTTGGGCTTGAAACAGAACCATGAGAGACCAAGGAGACAGAGAGGAGGCCATGGTGTTCCAGCCAATGGCTGGCAACCAAACCCCAGAAAGCTTGGTGCAAGACCATCTTGTATACTGTAGATTCAAGTCACGCCTCTGCAGCTGATACCAGAAGGGACCCATGGGCCCTCCCCACGCTTCTGAGCCACAGAGCCGAAAGGATAAAATCACTGTGTTCTAAGTCACTAGGTTTGCAGATGATCTGCTGTGTGGCAACAGACAACAACAATACACACCTGTGGTTCTCTCTGCCTGTCTACGGAGCAGCTCCAGTGGCTGCAGCCCTGGGCTCCTTTGCAGCACAATCTCCCATTTATTCCTAGATTCCTCCAAATCATTATGCAAGGCACAAAGTGCATTGCTTGTATGAAATATTTTTAACAATGCAAGAGGATGCTACAGTAGGAGCTGTGCAGAACCTGTGCATTTCCATGAGAAGGGAGCCTGCATAGGCCTCTCCCATGATCAGGGGGAGGTTTAGGGGCTACAGCAGTTTCTTCAAGTGGGGCTTCAGGATTCTGACCTCTGACCCTCATGACTACAAAGGAAAGCAGTCACTTCCAGACATTTATGTGTGGGTTCTTCTAGAAAATTATAGCCACACCTACCAGAATATTCCCTAAATATTATTACCTAAGACTTTAACACTGTGAATTTTATAGGACAAGTCTCTGACAATACGCCTCTCAGGATACAAACGTGCTCTGGACATGCTGGGTAAGTTTCCTAGGGGCAGAGAGTCTGTCCCAAGTGTTGTCTCCAGAAAGCAAGAGGCCCAGTCATGGCCCGGGACACAGGGCTCCGGTGGGGCCCAGGCTGTAGGCTTCCGAAGGAGACCGAGGCAGATCTCCCGACTTTAAATCAGGCCAGGTCTGGGGCTACATTTGAAAAAGGAGGCAAGGGGCAGGTGCTGCACAGTGATTCACATGGCTTGGGATGCCTGACTGCCATATCTGAGTGCCTGGGGCAGTCCCCGGCACAGTTCCCAATCCCAGCTTCTAACCACTGCGCGCTCTGAGAGGCAGCGGCTGGCGGCTCAGGAACATGGAAGCCTGCCACCCACACGGCAGACGCAGACTGAGTTCTGGGTTTCTGGCTTCAGCCTGGCCCAGCACCTGGCCTCTTGGGGGCATTTGTTCTCTCTGCCTTTCAACTAAAACTAAAAATAAATAAATAAGTAAATAAATAAATAAAAAGAGCCAAGTTGCCTTATTCTAGTTGTTTCTACTGGGAAGACACATCTGACAAATATTAGAGGCTTTCTCCCGAGCATATATGCAATTCTTGCAAACAACTCTGGCCTACCAGGAGCTCCACATCAAAATCCCCGTCCTGGTGGAAGGCGCACTTCAGTGCAGCCTTTGTCCCTGGAGCACTTGCCCTCACACTCCTTCACTGGCTCCCACAGAAACACCAATCTGTGATTCATCCCAGTCTCTGGCACAGATGAGCAGAGACGAGCACACAAGGAAGCCCGGCAACATTCTTTTTACGCGTGCATCACCAGATCAACGTCAGAGAGGGACGTAATTTACAGCCCATCAAATCAGGTGGGCACGAACATCAGGGTCTTGCCCATGTATTCATAGGCCACGACTTTATATTTCATTTCTATTTCTGCATGCCAAGCCCTACCAGCTTCTTTGCTGTGCTGGTAGCATCAGATCTTTCTGGCTCTGCAGTTACTTTTGAATGTTTTCTGGATTTGCAGGGCCCAAGGACTCCAAAACCAGTAAGAGTTCAAAGCTTGCTAGATGCTGTCTGCGGTAAGCCCAGGTGTGCCCTCCTGGAGCAGGAAGCATAACCGAAATGCTTCTTCTTTACAGATCTGTCCTAACATTTATGATAAAAAGTGCCACTCAGGGGAACAAAAACTTGACTTTTATTTTCAGAGAATCCTGTTGACACTGCTGAAAACAACAGCATACAGTTACTGACGCTTGCTACATGCCAAATCCTTCATATAAATCACCTCGTTTAATCCTCATACGCAGAAAAATTGCAGGAGCGTGGTGGACGGGTGGACCATCAAACTCGCTCCCTTCCCTCTGAGCACACACACTGCGTCTCCCAGCCTCCACAGCAATTGCAAGGAGCCCTGGCACTGCTTCTGGCCGATGGAATGCAGGAAAACACAGAGCAAGTACCTTGCAGGGGTGGCCTATAAAACCTCACGCAGTCTTCCAAACACTCTGTCTCCCCGTCTGCTGGCTGGTCACAGAGACGCTGCAAAGCCGAGGGCAGAGCTGCAAGCAGGAAGGAGTCTGGGTGGCTGAGTCAGTGCAGGGGATGCACCCTGACCCACACTGCGACGTTGCTACGTGAGCAAAAGACCAGTGCTGTTTTCCAAGTCACGGATGTTTTAGGGTTGGTATGGCTCTCCTAACGCTACTTTAGGGTTGCTCAGGCTCTACTTAATGTACTTTTCTGAGCACAGAGAGGTTACATAATTAGGATGCTCAGTAGTTGCCTAGCTAATAAGAGGTAGTGTATTTAAACCCAAGTTTTGAACCAACTGATCTGCTTATCATGTTTTATTCTGTTCCTCTTCATAAGTTCATTTTAATTACATGTTGCATAAATTGCTCCTAAACTTGATTTCTGTATCGGGGTGGGGGGTGTTTCTGTATTTGAGGGAGGTGGGTGGACTGAGCTCCATAGTTGGAGACAGAAAGATATTTTCCTCAAAGAAATCATCTCACTTCTCTATCACTTATTAACGAGTAAGAGGGGGACTGTGCTGCTTAAACAACTTGGTGGGGTATGCCTGTTGACTTGTGGAAACTTATACTGAGAGGTTCTCCAGGAGTTACACAATACTCCATGACAACTTTCCCCAAAACCTAACAGCTTAACACCACAAGCATCTCTCTCTCCTGGATTCTGTTTGTCTGGATTCTAGGAAAGGCTCATCAGGATGCTTCCTGCTCAGGATCTCTTAGGAGGCTGCCCACAAGATGTTGGCTCATGCTACTTCACCTGAAGGCTTGGTTAGGGCTAGAGGGTCTGCCTCCAAGGTGGTTCAGACAGACAGCTAGGAAGCTCATCTACTAGCCAGCAGGAAGTCTCAGTTCCTCCGCCCCCCCACCCCACCCCCAGACTGCATGCTGTCTTTACAAAGCGAGGGCTTATATCCCCAGTGAACAAGTCCAAAAGGCCAGGCAAAGGCCACAAGGCCTCTTAGCACCAGTCTCAGAAGTCACACTCATTATTTCTGCATTGCCTACTGATCCCACAGGCCAGGCCCATTCAGAGTCACCCAAGGGAGAGAAGGCCAACAGGCAAGGATGGGGCGCCATTCTGGAGGCCTAGCTGCCATAGTCATCCAACCCTTGTATACCAAGGGCCTACTGAGGAAGTGGGATCAATCAATGAACAAAAACAAAGTCTTGCACTCAGGAAGGAAATGATGGTACTTCAGAAAGTCTGTAGAAATGGAATGGGAAGACATGCTTATTCTGGTGCGAAACATCTTGAAGTCCCTGCGACACACTTTCCAACAACTTTCTGGATTAGCCCCACACACCAGTGGAGGTCAGACAGGCAATGGCTCTAATCAATAAGTACACTGCACTGTGTGCTCGAAAGTGCAGAGTGCAATGCAGAGATAAAGCAGGAGAAAGGGCTCGCTGGAGGGCGGGACTACTCATCAGGTAGACAGAAAGATCCAGACAGGCCTCACACACACAGTTTTATGGAGGAAGAGTGTCCCGGGCAATGGCAACAGCAGCGGCAGGAGCCTTCAGCTGGGAGTTTTGCAGCTGTGTCTAGGAGCAGTCCAGCAGGTGGGTGTGAGAGGGAAGCAGGAGATGAGGTCAGGGAAGCAGCGACAGTGAATGGAGATCGTGTAGGACTTGGCGGACTTCTGAGGGCTCCGCCTTTCACTCCGAAGCCACCGGATGGTTCTCAGCAGACGACAGATAGGCTCTGAATGTTACCATTTAAAAATATCATTCTGGCAACTGAATGGACAGGCTGAGGGAGGGTGGAGGCAAGGAAGCAAACGAAGAGGCACTTGTAATAATTCAGGCAAGGGGGGACGGCGGCTTACACTTATCAGTGTAGATGGTGAGGAATGGTCAGATTCTAATTTATTGTGCATGATTAATTCATAATCCTAGCAGAATTATCAAGCATAATTAATTCACTTGTCCCAGCCGAGTTTTTATTTAGGAAGAGCAGCATTTTTTATTGGCTCCCAGAGTTGTAGGTGACAAATGTTACCCTAGGGGACCCAGTGCAACCTCTGAGAAGTGTCACAGGGATCCACCACAGGCAGCATAGGGTAGGACAGATGGGTGAAGCTTCAAGGCCTCCACCCCAGGTGTACAAGGCTCCTAATGCAGGGCGAAGAAGTCTTCTTGAGAAGAACTTCAATGCCCTAAAATGCCAGACAGACCATACAGACACACACACACGCACACATACACACTACATGAAAAAATAAATCACTGATGAAATCAATCGACAAACTATAGGAAAAATATGTGCAGCACAAATGAAAAAAGTTTATAATCCTAATATTTAAAAACTCTTAGAAATTCTTAAGAAGACAATTAAGTGAAAAATGGGCAAAGGGCATTAAAAAATGAAGCTCCTAACACCTCCCTCACCAAGTTGTTGTGAAGATACAGTGATGACCTGGCACAGAATGCACGGTCCACACCACTGCTCACCACTGCCCCAGTACAACCACCACTGTTACCAGCAGTACCACCTCCCCTATGATTAGCATCACCACCATCACCACCACTGTTGGCAACTTCATCACCATCACAGAGGAAGAGCCAGCAGCAGTGCAAACCCGAGTCCACTCTGAAGACCAACTGAGTGCAGCTTCCCCTAAGGGAAGTCATTACCTTTTCATGGTTTTCTATTAAGATCTCGATGACAATATTCTGAAATTTGATATCCATGATGGCGGCTACGGTCTCTTCCTGAGGCCGCAAAAGGGTGGGTCCAAACACCACGCCAAGGTTGGCCACGGTCATCAAGTTCTGCTTGTGGTTGTTAGCAACACTGGGAAGAAAGGGAAAAAGGACATAGATGAGAGAAATGGTATCTGCGGAGTCAGCTGACTTGACCATTAGCCCTATGCTCTTCCCACCTTCCCATCGGAGACTTCTCATCTGCAGAAACCGGAAACTCAGACACCACGAGAGCCAACACTGAGACTTCTCTACTTGTATTTTTGTCTACCAAAGTGTCAGAAATCTTCAGCATCCAGACTATTTGCTGTTTCAGGATGTGACACTCCTCACCATTCCCATTTTACCTAAAATACCCAACCAATGAAGGCAACCATCTGCCAAGTCATGAACCTTTGTACATCTGAATCCCCGTTGTGCAACTCCAGGTAACTGCTAATCCCTCTTAGTTGCAACTTATGTCCTTGGCCGCTGTCTAAACCACTGAGCTCATTAGCATTTTCCCTAGTGCAAATATAAAAACTCTTGATGGCTTTAATTCATCTGCAAACACAGGCACAAAATAGACCTAATTTTTAAAATGGGCAGATCTGGATATTTAAAATCAGCTCAGGAAATTCAGCACTTCAGCGTATTAAAGCCCCATCAGATTAAACATGTGGTTCATAGTAAGTGAAACATGTGGCATAAACGGACATAAAAACATACTACTGGGTACTCATGTATATGCCTATGGATATGTCACTTATACTGAAAGCTGAAGGAACACACAGGGTCAGTTGTAGCTGGGACTGAGTAATTTGCTAAATACATATACATATTTTTGGATAAACAACTAGCTCCAAACATGTATCTGAACTTCATGCTGAGACCACCGTAACTTAGCTATAAAACTCAACTGTTCATGTGCTGCCCCCGGCATACAAAAATATACAAATCATCTACTGGCAACAAATAAGGTAAATGTTAATGCCACTGAGTATTGTTTGGAAAACATCAGGAGCTTCCCTAAATCACCTGCTGGACGAAGGAAGCCATTCATTACTAATTTGAAACTAGAGAGAAACTGGACAGAGCGCGGCAGTTAGCACAGATCCGCCTCCCCAGCATGTGGTACTATTTATACTGAGTATTTTTTCACAAGTCTATAAATGCATGCACTGTTTCTCTTGTATACTTCTATTTTGCAAGAGGAAGAGAGTCACACTGCCGTAAGTGCTGAGTTTTAAGCTGAGCCTCCATTGAAACACCAGTTTTATCAACCAGTTTTACCAGCATGTGTGTGCTTCTCTATAATGTTTTTAGGCCTAAGAGCTTTCATCTAACTTCCTCCTTCCAAAGGGGCAGGGTGCGGTGAGGTGTCAAACTTTCACGAAACTTGCTTTTCGATGGCTAAGCCAGACTTGCAGGGCAGAGCGAGTCCACCGGTATTCAGGCCCATTTCTGGTCCACCTAAAGATATTTGATCAACATTTCCTTGGTCCTAGCTGAGCCTCTCGCTTTTACTCGTAGTTCTCCCACTCTGCCTGGAACCACGGCACGTCTGCACAGCCTGCCAGAGTGAACACAGACGGTCAAGTTCTCACCTGCCAAAGGAGAGACACGTGCGTTCCGGGCAGCAGTCAATCACCAGGTATGCATATTTACAAGCTGCTTTTAGCATCACTGCTTTCAACATCAGCTCCTGTGTGTGGGACGGGAATTCTATGTCCTTATACTTCCCCTCCCAAATGAGCTAAGTCAGTAGACTTATTACCTCTCTTGTCACAAAAGTCCCTTATGCAAGTGAATCAACCGGCTATTTATGTATGAAAGCACTTTCAAATTGTAGGCCGATATAAAAAAGCATGGTTTGGATGATGGTCATTTTTCACCATCGTGCTTCTCCCGTCTTCACACAGAGAACTCAACCAACAGCTCCTAACCAGGCTCTCCGACTCCTGGGCCACCACCAGTTACTGTCTGAAACCCAGCTCTGAGCACACAAGTCCCACACCTCTCCCAGCTGCTGCAGAGAAAACACAATGGTGGGACAACTGAGAAGTGCTTAGCAATGCTTCTATTATCCTACTGCTCTGATAACGACTGGAAACCTCTGGTGTGCCCATTGTTCATTTGATATAAAGTCTGAATGCATAAAACAGCACATCTTTGCCACCTTCCAGCTCTGGGTCCCTGGGCAAGTGACTCTGTATGTCTAAGCTCTGAGTTCCTCTTCTTTGAAAAAAAAAAAAAAAAAAAAAGTGGGGGAGCTGTGCTGGGCAGATCTGTTGCAAGAGACAACTGTGCAGACAAAGTGTGATCATGCATGGGAAATGCAGTGTTTTAATAATTCATTCTGAGCTCTCTACTTTCATACCCCTGTGCCTTTGACTTTGTCATTTCTCTGCCTAGAACGTTGGTACTGCTCTGTCTTTCCTTGCAGACATCTACAAAGCTCAGCTCTAACAGCCGCCTTCCTTCTGTGCTCCCCCTCCTCTTTTCCCAGTCGGCCACCCCGATCCAGGCATGCACCTCACCATGCTGATGTCTCCACCTGCCCGAGCAGAGGCACCGTCCTAAGTGACTTGGTAGCACCCGTGCTCCTAAGCACTGTGCCTGGCAGCGAAGAGAAACAGCAAATGGTCGCAACGCGAGGGAGCTTCTGTGCAGACATAAAACAGCCACTCTGGACTCAGCTACTTCCTCATAAAACTTTAAACTTTATTGATGATTTTGGGGGAATGTAGCTCGACTATCCCAACCTCCCTTCTCTGTCTTGAACTGCGTTCTGTTGCTTAGATTTAATTAATGAGTAGTAATTACTCTGATTTGCAGGCTCCAGTGCCCCCAAGGTATTTGGATAAAAGGTACAGTAATTCTGGATCAGCAACTCAGAATACGAATAGGCTTGAGGCTACCTAACATAATTCATTTCCCTTTTAATGATCCGTCGTTTTATTTTAGAACTTAACAAACACCCTGATCTACATCTCAGCAAACTTTCAGGAGAAAAGGTGCACCTTCCATTCCTAACTACCATTATCTTTTGGCATACAGAGTAATAGATTGATCTGTCACTTGATTATTACTGCTCACAACTTGCTCCAGCTAGGTTCATTACTCCAGAATGAATTATTAATGACTTGAGATCTCTGTGTATCCCAGAGAGAAAGAGCTAGACCTCAGCCTCTGCTGGCACCAGCCATCCATTAGAGCTTGATGGATTTACAGATGTGTGGGAAGCAGGCTGGCAGGGCGCTGGGAAGCCGGTCCAGCAGAGGCCACGGGACTCATTCATTAGCGGGGCCCATAAAACGCGGAGAGCCTGCTTTCTGTTTTGGTAACTGAGCTGCCTGAGCTCCTCCTCACAGCTCAGACAGTCGTGTCGAGTCTTGACTTAGAATCCACACACAGCATTTTCTTGTGCACTGCACACTGCACCCCAGGAGTCTTTGGCACAAGTTTTTCTGGCCCCTGTGTCCGCATGGACCACTCTGCTGTGGCGCCTTCTGAGACGACCGCCAAGCTGGCAGTCTTCCTCTAAAGGCCGCAGAGACACACACAGGTGCACTGCAGTTTCCACTCAGGGAGGCTCAGTTCCTTCTGTGTTTGCTGCATCTCCTGGGAAGCAGCCCACATGCAGGGAAGAACCTGGGGCATTTGCACCCCATGGTACCCGCCACTCCCTCATGCACGGCCATCAATGAGCAAAGAGCAGGTTTGGAGGAAAATGGCCTTGGCAGAGGGGTCTCCCACCACTTCTGCTTTAAGGGAAAATAGATGAGGACTCTGTGTTGGTCTGACACCCCCTGAGAGGCCGGAGGAGGCAAATCACTGCCAGATGAGGGCGGTGGTGATGATGCTGGTAGGGGAGCAGAGAGGAGCTAACCCTTCTGGGTTCTCTAAAGCAGAGACCTTCATGCTGTCACAGGGGTCACGTCTGCTTTACTGGAGTTTAAATAAAAGCTCTGTGAATGCTAGGCAGTACTGTACTGTGACAGACCAGCCCTGAAGGACTCCAACAACACACAGGCGTGTTGTGGGGTCAGCAAACAGCTTCCTCGTGAGGCCTGCAGCACCAGGTTGAGCAAACTCCAAGCTGAGCCTGAGCTCCACGGGACACTATGAAGTGACGGGCTGGCCACGTCTGTGACGGGCGGATGGTGCAGCACAGCCCGCCCCCACCCATCTGTCGTCCTTGATTTGCTTGCTTCACCCTCCAATGTTGAATCAAAATGAGAACTTAGACTTGAGGGGGTTTAATACTTGACAAAAAGCTCTGTAACAACTTTTTATATTGATCTGACTTTCATAATAAATCTAGAATCTTAGCTCCCAAACGCAAGACAGAAAATATATCTTACCACGCACGATGGCGCCAGGACATACGGACCTGCATTCACACATAAATGCGTGTACACACACATGTCAGAAATGGAATCTCAGAAATGGTATGCGTGATGCATTCTGGTACTTTTCTATTCTAGTCTGCTTTTTAATGTACTAAAAGGATGTCACAACTCACTGATGCACCATGAAATACAATGCGAGAAACAGTGTAAGAGTACAGAGTGCAAATATTATCTCCAATTTACAAATGTGGAAAACAAGGCCAACGATGCCACTATGGTATAGTGGCTGGGGTCAGACACTCCTAGCTGAATGACAAGGCAAATGGCGTGGCCTCTCCAAACCTGTTTCCACATAGAAATGGGAGCAGAAACGCCTCCCTCATAAAGTTGGAAGGCTGATAAAGGGTGATTATGTAAGTAGATCTCTTGGCATGAGGTAATGGCTTAATAAATGGTAACTACTATTGTCACAGCAGCAATGAAGGTCGTGGTAGGTGAAGTAGCAGGTGCCAATTTCAGCCACGCTTTTAGATGGTGGTTTTACCCGGTATATCTTGTTCAGGAACTTCTAGCAGTATGCTTCTGCCCTGTCCACCTGTATTTCAAAGACTTCTGTTCCTTTATTTGCATTTTCGTTCCTTTTTTTTTTTTTTTTAAATGACAGGTAGAATTACAGACAGTGAGAGAGAGAGACAGAGAGAAAGATCTTCCTTCCGTTGGTTCACTCCCCAAATGGCCGCCACGGCCGGCACTGTACCGATCCGAAGCCAGGAGCCAGGCGCTTCCTCCTGGTCTCCCATGCGGGTGCAGGGGCCCAAGCACTTGGGTCATCCTCCACTGCCTTTCCGGGCCACAGCAGAGAGCTGGGAGCAACCGGGACTAGAACCCGGCTCCCATATGGGATGCTGGCACTACAGGCAGAGGATTAACTAAGTGAGCCACAGCGCCGGCTCCTTTTGTTCCTTTTTTTTAAAAAAAATCGTGAAATATTTCAAACCTGAAGGACAGGTCAAAGCACAACAGTACATATTTCCTAAAAGCATCTCTGCCACGTCATGCTGAGAGCCTCTTTTGAAGCTAAAACAAAGCCACCAGACTCACCAACCTGCCTACAAGTTCTCCCCTAACCACCCGAAGCCCAGTGCCCTGGAAAACCCAGCTCTGGGCACTGTCCTGGCCAGGGGACCACAACAAGCCCTCTCCTCTAAACCATATGTCTCAGTCCATCACAGGGGACACTCCTCCTTTCCCAAGTGCCCAAAGGTTGGAAGCTGGATCATGACCTTGGAGTGCGCCCTCTACAACACACAGGCAGGTACACGAGGGAGGCCCAAGGTTACTAATTCTGGAAGTGGGTGAGTAGGTGAGTACCTAATATACAGAAATATCCCTTTTCTCTCTACCACTCTCTCAGGGAAGCTCCAAGATCTGAGGCTTCAGGAGTCAGCGGAAACGAAGAAGATGGCATTACTAGTTTTCTTGTGGTTAACCACATACATTTAGTTTCCAGCGTTGGTTTCTTTAAAAAATGTGTGTGTGTATATAAATATATATCTAATATATGTTGCAATACATTTATTTGGAAGACAGAACGACAGAGATAGAGAGACTGAGAGATCTTTCATCTGCTAGTTCAACTCCCCCACTATGGCCATCAAAGCCATGGGCCTGGGACTCCATCCTTGTCTCCCACTTGGGTGGCAGAGGCCCAAGCACTTGGGTCATTGTCTGCTGTCTTCCCAGGAGCAATAGCAGGCAGTTGGATCCGAAGTGGAGCAACGGAACCTGGGCTTCAATATAGGATGCTGCAGGCACTGCAAGCACCTAAACACTGGCCCTTCCGGGGTGGTTAACATAGCTCTCTTCACTGTCCTCAAACTCATTCTTAGCATAGTAGGGGAGCCCCACCAGCACCGGTGGTGTGTTTTCTCATCCTCAGCCTGCTGTAGAAGCTGCCTGGACACCACAAGGTGTGGGTACTGAGGAGGTCTCCACGGGGACCATCTGTCAGAGCAACATACCCAGCCTGGGTGGCCTGCCCCAGTGGCTGGGATGGGGGCACATTCACCAACCACAGGAAGCATCTTTGTGGGAACGGCAATCGAGAGAGCAGCCAGGCTCTGAGTAACTGAGTGCCGATGACACATACTGATGCACAGAATCTTATTCTGTGCGAGTGCCCTTCAGGGCAGGGAGGCAGCACTTCTGCGGCCATCACTTTACAGGTGAGGAAACCGAAGCCCGCAGAAAGAACCTGCCCAAGGCCACACAGCTAACGAAGGCAGAGCAGAAGTCAGCAGAGCCCACACTCCTAACCACAGCTCTCTGCTGCTCCCACATGACCACAGGCGAGTGCAGCAGAGGCTAAGGAGGCATTCTTTCCTCTGGGAAGACTCAGTCAAAAGTGCATACAGGGGTGGTGTTTGGCTTAGAGGTTAGGATACTGGGTGGGATGCCTACTTCCCATGTAGGACTAAGCCATGGCCCCACTTTCAAGGCTGACCCTTGAAGGCAGTGGTGATGACTCAATTAGCTGGATCCCTGCCACCCACATGGGAGACCTGGATCGAATTCTGGTTCCTGGCTTTAGCTCGTTGCTGCAGACATTTGGGGGAGTGAACCAGCAGATGGGATTGCTTTCTCTCAAATACACAAATGCATTTTTTAATAAATGAGAAGAACTGGAAGAAGAGATTTGAAAAAAAAAGGGATGGGGAGAGAATATTAATGCCTAAGAGAGCAACAAAGGACCATAACTCTGCTCCTTCCCTTTGCTGCAGCAAGCCATGCCTGTGTGCATGACAAAATTATGAAAATGATGAACTACCCATAAGATATGATGATATTCCATTTATAGTCGGTGGCACAGACAGCTGCTTCCTACCGGGGAAAGGGTGAGTGCGTCACACTGAGAGAGAAGAATGAAGTGAAAGAAACAGGAGGGGGACTGCAAAATGGTCTCTGTAGCCCCCGAAAGGACAATGAGAGCCATGCCTGTGTCCCCCTAGCCTGCACTGCTTTCATCCGAGGACTTCAAAGCACTGAGTAACTGGCCAAGTGTCCCCCTCACTGGTGATCCAGACAGAGAGGCCTGCAGAGGCGTTAAGTGTTGGCCAGCATCACTTATGTTCACTTTTACCTGCACTTGCAGAGGCTCGCTGGGAATCAAAAAACTCTTTAGAGAAAAGCAAGAGGGATTAGGTGGAATGCAAAAAAAAGGCAAAGTACCTCTATGCATATCGCTTGCAACTGAAAGCAGAGATGTTCTGAAATCTGAGCACGAGGCCAGCTCTGACTTCTCTGCTATCCTCTGACCCAACTCTACTGTTTAAAGCCCACCAAAGGCTTCTGTTTTTAATTTCGAGTTGAAAACCCTTGGCATGCAGTCCCCCAAAATTGAACACAGATCTGCCATATGATCCGATGATTCCACTGCTGTGTCTATAACCAGAAGCGAACTGAAACCAGAGGAGAATTGAAAGCAAGGCCCTGGAGAGGTATCTGCACACCCATCTTCATAGCAGCAGCACTCACAGCAACTGCAATGAAGCAACACAAGTGGGTGACGGGCTACGCAAACAACATGCGCGGAATATTACACAGTCTTAAAAAGGAAGGACATGCTGACACATGCTACAACAGGGACAAACCTCAAGGACAAAAGTACAGTAAGTGAAAGAAGCCAGTCATGAAAAAACAAATACTGTCTGACTACTTACATGAGGTACTTTGAGTAGTCAAAATCATACAGAGAGAAAGTGGAACGGTGGGTGCCAGGGGTCGCAGGAGAGAGAATGGGTGCAGAGTTCCAGTTTTCCAAGAGGAAAAGTTCTAGAGACGGGTGGTGGTGAACCATCCCAGTATAACCACACAATATAGATGTGTTAATACCACTGAACAGTGCACTTAAACTTGGTTAAGAGGGTAAACTCTGCATCATATGTATTAAAACCAGAAAGACAAGAGAACCTTCGGCACGGCCGGCAAGGTCCCCCGGCGCCGAGCTTATCTCTCACAGCCCTTCCCTGTGCTCTTTGATCTCTGGCTGGAAAACCTCTTGGGGCATCAGGGTCTTCCTCCTGCAGGCAGATGCCTGCTGCCTGGGAAGCCCTGCCACCTCCGTTTCTCTAGCTCTTCTCCTACTCACTTGCTCAGAGAGGCCCTTCTGGACACCCACTTTGGGTCAGAGCCAGCACAATAATTCTAAATCCCGAAGTACCCTTCCCAGCACTTACTGAATTATGAAATAGGTCACCACTCACGGAACCGCCACTGTCTGTCTCGCCCATTTCCCAGAAGCTCCAGGAGGCCAGGACTGGCACCAGCCTTCCTCATCGCCATATTCCCATGCTCAGCACAGAGCCAGCCACATCACGTGGGTCAAAGAAGTCCCGTGGATGGTCTGGGAGGCCACCTTCTTCTAAGGGCACCAAAGCTGAGCTGCACCGCATGCCTGAATAAGGCTCTGTGTGACCTGCTGGGATCTCAGAACCTCTGTCACGCTGGGGCCAGTGGGGGCAGCAGCCAGGGCAGCTGATCCTGATCTGATGAGGTCACATCACAAGCCAGGCATCTCTCCTTGGCTACACTAATCTGGAAGGTAGAAAGGCCCGTAAACTATTCCTGGAGTAAAATAATCATTACTGTATGTATTACCTAATACACATCACATAACACAGCATAAGCCCACACTGCGAGACAACTCTCCTTCCAAAACATTTCATTGTAGCTTTTAGGATAGTAGCTCCGGTGTCTCCCCTTTTCCTTTATCCATTTCTGAGATCCTTTTACGTCCTGCCTGCTTCTGATTACTATGGTTGCCACCAATAATAGCAGCAGCAGCAGCAGCTAACATTAACAGAGCATTCACCATGAGCCAGGCGTTAACACTCCATCAGTCACCTCATCTGGTCTCTAAAATAACCCTACGAGGTACGTCCCATTACCATCTCACATGAAGAAGCTGAGACTCAACAAATTCAGAAATTACCCAGGGTCACATCTCTAGCAAGATTACAGCTAGAATGTGAAGCCCAACAGTTTCCAGGCAGGTTTATAAGTTCCTGCTCTTAAATGCTCCAGTGCAAAGCAGAGTAAGTGTGTGTGTGCATGAGTGTGTTATATAAAACACATGCACTACATGTCCTGTCATTTTCTATCTCACTTGCTTCTGCTCTTTCCCACATGGCTTAACCTTGAAGAGATCATAGGGCAAAGGAGAACACGATTTT